AACATCGTCGTATTCACGAACCATTGTAAAGTCGAATACTTCTTGATCACGAAGGCCTTTCCACTCCTTGAGCATTGCCTCTTTGGCCTTTGGGTTAGACTCAATCTCGGCTCTGCACACAGGTCGTGAAACCATTGCGTTGAAAAGTTTGCTTCCAAGACCTCCTGATGGAATCTTGGTTCGGTGACTTTGGTTTGATGCAGAAGTACACGGCATAGTTGGGAAAGGGATGTATTCATCATCATCAGTGGCTATGTTCTTCATGTTCTTGACGTTGACACATTTGCCATTTTTGATCATTGTCGACTCTCCTGGCGTAGCCATGGAAAACCTCGAAATCTCACCTGACAATGTGCTCCAAACTTCACCACTCCACGATGCTTTTGGGCCACGTCCTTTCTCGACCTCCGACCATTCATCCCATTCAGTGAGATATTCCTCGTCGTCCGGGACGTCAGTAGAAGCATCGGAACATGGACTTGCATCAGCATTCCTCTTCACTTTTCGACAATCAATGTATCGTCTTCCATGTACATCGTCATCATCGACTATGTCGTACAAATCAAGATACGTACTTGTACATGTGATAGGTAAGGTAACTTTGTTCTTCACAACTTCACCAACACCTGCATCGGATTTCTTTGACTTTGAATGAGAGTCATCCTTCTTACTTTCATCATCACCTTCATCGTCCTTAGACTTTGGCTCGTCTTTGTCTTTCTTTGAATCTTTCTTCTCCTTCTTCGTTGCCTTCTTCTTCTTTTCTTCGACCAATCTTTTGGCTTTGTCATCGGCCTCCTTCTTCTCCAACTTCTTCTTCTCGGCTTTGAGGATGGTATTCCGGTCAGACTGAGAGAGTTTGCGCCATTCTTCAGGAGAATAGGTCCCTTTGGGACGCAGTGACGTTTTGAACATTCGTCTACCGTCATCTCCAATCTTGTATGGGTAACCCTTGACGTTCAACTTGACCTTCTCACCATCGTCATTGAGGTATATCTTCCCATCTCCAGCTTTGCCCTTCTTCCAATGGTCTGGTTGGGCGTCGATCAATTCCTGGAGAGTCATCTCTTCTGGATCTTTATCTTTGTCGAAGATATCCCCGGAGTCATCAAGAGGCTTCTTTGAAACTTTTCCACCACTTGGTCCAGGTCCACCGTCGTCTCCGTCATCAAGCTCATCATCATCCTCATCTTGGTCATGTTCTTCGTCATCTCCATGAGGCATTTTGGAGGGATCGCCATCGAGGATTTCTCTCTCTTTCATTCCCTCTAATGTGGTGTTCACCCTCTCATATTCTTGCTCGCATGGAAATGTCAGTGGAGTGACCATCTCGACCTTTTCGGTCAAATGAGGTTTGAGAAGACGGTGTTCAGGTTTGCTAGCATCGTCACCAAGATTCTGATGTACGAATTCACTCAGAGGCCATACTTTATATTGTCTTGACCAATGCTCCCTGGACCAATGTGATAACCAGCAAACACTCCTGGGATAGAATCAGGTCCAAACTTGTGGAGTTGTCCCGCTTCTCTGGTTTTCGGAGGCTTGTAGTTCACACGAGCACCATAGGGAATGAGTTTGCCAGCAAATTCAGATCCATGGAGTTTGCACCAAGCGCTCAATTCATCATCGTTGGGTTCTACGTTGAGTAGATGACATACACAAAGGATTGCTGTTCTCCAGAAACAAGGTGGTAATCCGGCTTCCAAAAGACATGTAGAAGTAGCTGTGAGAATAAATTGGTTCGTCCTTTCGGCGATTGAATTTGTTTGAGGTCTCCCAGGCAACGAATGATCAATTGGGATCTTCATCTCATTCATAGCTTCAATGAATTGTGGAGCATGATCAGAGTAGGCCTGTCTGACCTTCTTGGCGCCGATGAACTGTTTCACCGCTCTAACTACATCGTCTTTGGTCATTCTATCAGATGGATAAGCACCAATGATCCCTGTAAAACAGTCTCTGACAACCAACACTTCCTTCTCGAGGACCAACACGTCATCATGGACTTTGGATGTGTCCACTGCATCAAAGGTAATGAGGTCGCCAAACTTCTTGAGTTCCCTTTTGTATGCACCACGACGAGTCTTGAAGTGCTTCATCTTTGCTCGAATGCATGAATCGCAATATGGATTCTTGTATCTGTGGGTCAGCTTGTGATTCAAGCTATTGGCTTCTCTCTTGAGTGTTCCTCTTTTGGCTACCCTGGACTCACCCTCGACGACATCGATCTCAATGTCATCTTCATCACCTTCAGCGGCGTCCTCAGGAGCACCATGACCATCATCTTCAAAGTCAGTCTCGTCACCAGGATGTCCGTCAAGCGGAGTTCCGGGTTCGTACTCGCCGCCCTCAGGTGGTTCTTCTTCCTCTTCTCCAGGAGTTGCCAAATGTTTCTGTCGGTTCATTGCTCTTCTCTTCTTCTTCACCTTGAGCTTCTTGACGTATCGGGAACAGTTGTGATCCTCAGTCGATGTCTCAAGGCCACTTTCTCCATCGAGATGTACTCTTCGTGAGGGTTGACCAACATCATCAATGTCGTTGAAATCATTGAATCCGACTTGAGGATGTGTCAATAGGTCATGGATCTTTGATGCATGATGGCATTCATGAGGAGTGCATTCGTATGTTCCAAGATCAACGTAGGGGATGTTGTCATGGATTGTCAGATCGATGCGTTCTCCATTCTTCGTAATCATGAAAGGCAATTGACCAGATGGCCATACAAAGGAGTATCCTTCTTCCATGCATCGTTTCCCAAGAGACATCACGGACGGGGTGTCGTCCAGCACATAAGCATGAGAGGTCACATCAAAGGTTCCCAGGTCAATCTCCGCTTCCGTTTGAGTAGCAGTTGAACCGTTGGCGGTGTGGAACATGATAGGATCACAAGTTCGTTGCTTCAGGCTCATCCTTTCGGCTTTCCTTGCAGATTAGATCGTGTCCGCTGCCAGAATCCAGGATGAATCTACGATCTTTGGTTTGTACTGGTAATGAAATGCACATCATGTTCTTGGACTTTATGAGGGATTTTCCAACTTCGTGTTCGACAAGCTCTTCAATGAAAGTCAAGTCATCACGATCATCGTCCAGCTTGATCAACATGTCGAACTTAGGGCCGATGATGATTCTAACTTCATCAACAAAACGATGGAGTCCGCATCTGTCCATGATGATTGCTTTGGCCCGTGCTCGGACTGAACCAAGTGTGTTGTCGGACTTGGACTGATCGTCGGTCAAATCATCGACCTTCCAGAAGACATACTGCTTGTTGGGGTCACGATACATACGTTTGGGTAGTCCCTCTGGGTAGTTCTCAATTGCAATCTCGTGCACTTCAGGTTCCAGATCAAATGAGATTCTGCGAACATCAGAAGACTTCTTTGCGCTGGCTATCCTCGGTGAGGTATAACCCATAGAATCTTCATTGTCGCTGTCAAAGAAGGAGTCAATGGTAATGGGAGTCGCTTTCTTCTTTGGTGTCTTCTTGCCGGTTCTTTCTGAGGATGCTGAAGGCGATTGGTCTGCATGTAGGAATTTACATTTGCTCCCAAACGTGCAGGTACCCTTCTGCCAATTCCAACATACCTTCTTTTTGGGTCCAGCTGAAGATGAACTTCCTTTACTCTTTCCCCTTGACGAATCTCGACTTCCACTTCTGCCTTTCTTACCTTTCATCTTGGCATCATAGACCTTCTGAGAATGACTGTAAAGACATTTGTCCCCTTTGTTGCATCCTCCTTTATTGAAGAAGTAGTTACAGAAAATCTTCTTCTTGTCAACGGGTGAAGATGATCTTCCCTTCCCACCTTTGCCTTTCTTGTTGTTCTTGTCGGCATGAGATTTCGGAGAAGGTGTAGGAAGTACAGATGCAGCTTCACTCTTCGCCTTCGCCTTAGGCCGTTTGGGAGGATCACCTGTAGACGATGCAGCTGCTTCATTCTCCTTCTTGGTCTTGACGGGAGCGGCAGGCTTGTCTGCATCTTCTAAGGCAGGTGTCGTCTTGTTAGAAGACAATGACAGTTTCACTGCACGTTCTCTATCTTTCAACAGTCGTTCTTGCTTTCCTCTTGCTATGTATCCTTTGATCATGCCAGTTAGGTAAACATAGGTCTTCTCAGGATGCCCTTCATCAAAGGTTTTGTATCGGTTGATATCAAAGGCCATAAGCTTTGAGTGTTCAATCTTCCGGAACAATGTGTCACGCAGGGAATTGTTGGAAGGCAGATCATCATGTTTCATGTTGTATACGATGTCAAGCCACTTGTTGTAGAAGGCCTCAAGCTGGTCATCTCCATAGTAGTTGAACATATACAAATGATGGGCGTTGTAGAGAACTTCAGTATGGTCAGGTGACTTGAAGCTAATCAGTATCATCGCGAATAGTTCTCGTCCCTTGATAAAGTCCCCACTTCTCCCATACAATTGATTCTTCATGGACATGTCATACTTCACTTGCATGGACTTGTCCCCAGCATTGTCAATGACTTTCCTCAAGGCATTGGAGAGCTTGGCATCAATGGATTGGAATCTCACATCAGGAGCTTTGGCCAGCGCCTCCAAGTCAGGTTGATCTGCAAGACACGGAGCTAACCACGCCTTCCAATCTTCATAGTTTCGATCTCCACTTGCAACGCAAACTTCATGAACGACACTTCCCTTCCAGGATGAAAGTTCAGTGGTCTTAGGCCAGGGTTGGAGGCTGATCTTTTCGGCTTCTCTTAGAGATACGGATGACTTAGATCTATCCCTCTCAAGGTTCTCCAACTCCTTGACATTGGTGTTGTACTCGTTCCTGAGCTTCTCGAAGGCTTCAGCTTCTGCTCGGTATTCCTGCTCTTCATCGTTGGCGCGATCTTCAGCTTGAGAGAAATTGTTCTTGTAATAATCTTTCCGATCTTCCATCTTCTTCAACTCATCTTGAAGATTTCGAACTTCATTGTTCTTCTCTTGCTTCATCTCGTCCAACTCTGCTTTCAGTTTGGCACACTTCTCTTCACATTCATTCCGAGGCATAGCATTACTGGGGTACCCATGTAATGTAGTCGGTCTATTCTTTGATGAAGAAGAATGAGCTTGATTTTCCAACTTCAGGGCAGCAATAGTGCTCGACATCTCTTCTACCTCAGCGAAACGCTCATTGGCCAATTGATGCATCTCAGTCAAGTGGCTTTAGGAATGGAATAGTCAGTCGCACCTTTGATCACGAGTCTTCTGTCGTTCAACATCTTGATGGACTTACCTGCATCCCTGTGAGCACGCTCAAGAGAATCCTTCTGGGCTTCAAGTTCAGTATGAAGGCGAGCAATAGCTGTGTCCCTGTCATTGATTTCATTGTGCAAACTGTCGAACAAATCACTCGTCACATTCGGATTGTTGCTCATGTGATCGATCTTGTTCAGAGCATCTTGATATTTCTTACCAGTTTCATCGAAGTTTCGCTGGAAGACTTTGAGCAGGTCCTCAGTGTCAATGAGTTCAGTTCTGTTCTGCAAGTACAACTTGTCAACTTCAGCCTTGGATTCTTTCAAGCTGTCACGCTCACGCACGGCTTGCATATACATCTCGTATAGAGGTCCTCCATGCGGTGATCTGCTTGGTGAAGATCTTCTGGCTTGTTGGCATGAAAGTTCATGATACTGATTCTTCGATTCAGTCAGTTGTTGTTGCATTCGATCTAAAAGACTTTGTTTCATGTGTAGTTCAGAACGTAGTCCCATTATCCTCATGTCCCGCATGCCGCCTGATTCAGCTAGAGATTCTTCAGAAACCCTGTTCTCAGAAATCGCTAGTCGAGATTGTAAGTTTTCATTGTGGATCACCTGCAATCGAAGTTGCGATTCTTCCAAAGCTAAGTGATGTTCACATTCTGCATAACGGTCATGTTCAGATCTTATGTTACTACGGAACTCCTTCATGATCTCGTCCCTCTTCATGTCAGCAGCATCAAGCTCAGTTTCCAGTCGTCTAACGTTCATGGACATGGTGTGCTTCATTGTCTGATTTTGATTGGCAACCTCGAGCATCTCGATCTGTAAAGCACATGTTTGATCATTGGCGTAGCCGACCGCTAGAGCTTCCTGCTTGGCATTCATCTCTGCGTTTTCCAGTTCCAGTCTAAGTTGATTGATGTGAGCGTTCGCATCGGCGCCCACATGTACCATAATTGCGCTCGCTTGTCCCATTTGTTCATCGAATTCCGAACGTAGTCGTGAATATTTGAACTCCAAATGAGATGCAGCTTCATTCGACATAGTCTGATACCTTTCCAACTCTTCGATCCTGTAGGTCGCACCTTCATCTTCTTGTTGTGCAGCCTGTAATTCGAAGTTCAGCATCTGGAGTTGTTCGGTCATCGACATCATCTCTTGATGGGTGGTGCTTTCCAGGAAATTAAATTGTTGATAGGCATAAGCTGTCGTTTCGGCCAATCTTGCCTGAAGTACGGATTCTTCTTCAGTGGCCTTTTCCAGTGATGTCTTGTATTCAGCTAATTCACTCTGATAGGCAGTGAAGATGTCGCTACCACTCGATGGGGCGTTCACTTGCTGATAAGATCCTGTCCCTGATGGAGTAGCGTCCTGAATCGGTGAAGGCGGATTCGACGACGTAGTCTTTGCCTTAGTCCTTGGAGTCATCGGAGGCGACAATTGTCGTGCAGATGATCTCCTCTTTCCAGGTGTGCTGTCCCTATCTTCAATTGCTTGCATTGTCGAAATTTGTCTCCCTCTAGGAGCAACCAGAGGTCGCCTGGGTAGGCTTGTTCTCAATTCTAAGGCATCGCTTCCACCAGTGTCGATACTCTGTGAAGAATTTGACTGCGTGCCGGCAGCTGGTGCAACGGCATGTCCAGAGAAAGAAAATGCATTATCGCTGCTATCCTGTTCAGTCATCTGTAAGGCCCGCGGCTACCCGCTCGTAGGCTCCGTAGGAGTCCTACGGCTGATAACCTGTGAATCGAAGGTTAGCTCTCCGACTATATATTGATGTTGGTTCTTGAAGTGATTGTCTTCAAAGGTGATGACACACGAACAGCGGCTTCCGCATGGCTTTGCTCTTTTCCGGTACTGCAGTGGGTCTTGAGCCAAAGGGGCGATTTTGATATACCCCCTTGGCAATGGATCCTAGAGTGTTGAATTGTATGTGAATGCACAATGGTACGTAGCCTACACTCTATTCGCATGTATGTATGTATGTATGTATGTATGTATGTATGGAATGTAAGGTAAGGTAAGGTAATGCAAGGTAAGGTAAGGTAATGTAAGGTAAGGTAATGTAATGTAATGGTATGTATGTATGTATGTATGTATGGAATGTAAGGTAAGGTAATGTAAGGTAAGGTAAGGTAATGTAAGGTAAGGTAATGTAATGTAATGGTATGTATGTATGTATGTATGGAATGTAAGGTAAGGTAATGTAAGGTAAGGTAAGGTAATGTAAGGTAATGTAATGGTATGTATGTATGTATGTACGTAGGTATGTAGGTAGGTAGGTAGGTATGTAGGTATGTATGTATATACACCACCACAGGGGCATCATACCCCCCCCCATCCCATGGGGGGGGTGGGAACACGGGACGCGGGACCATATATATATAGCCAGCCATGTTCGATTGGCTATATCATTGGATATTAGTATCATTATTATCACTGGATATATACCCAGTATGTCGTTTGTCCCAGCCATGTTGCCACCAACCAACCCTTAACGATTCTTCTAGGTCTCAGTCTTCGCATCTCAGGCGTTTCGATCTCCAAATGCCGCTGCAGCAAATCCAAAGGGCCCACTTCGAGCCTGACGATTCGGGTTCTGAATCAGGTTCCCAGCTATTCCCAGCTCCCAGTTTATGGATAGATCATGATATATCATGAATTGTTGCTAGTTTTAACATGATTGTTGACATGGCTTTTTGGAATCTGTTTTTATCGAGTTTATATCCATAAATTTCACCCCACTGCACCCCCAAGATGCGCAGTTCTTGTTGTTTCTTCATTTTTTCTGATTCGACGCCAGAATGGCAGAGAGATATGGGACCTGAGGTGGATCTGAAACTATTTCCCTTTCGAAAGATGGGTGCACAGCGTCATGGATTTTGCGATCGCTCGTTCGTTCCATCCATGATTGGTACACGTCTTTGCCAAAATGGCCGTGTTCCATGATCTATGAAGCTCTTTGGCTGAAACTTCATCCTGGTGGACACTCTCTTCTACCGGAGACAAAAACACCTCGGGTTTCTAGGCTTATCACTGTCTCGTTGGGACGGAAAGCCGGGAAATAGTCTCCAATGTTCTGGTTGACTAAATTATGCAGCATACCTCGAAACCTCGAAACCATCGACAGCTTTATCCTGACAGAGTCGAGTTCCAAAAGGTGGGTTCTGCTGACTGTGGATTCGCAATAAGACACAGACTAATGTCAGTCTTGTTCCCAGAATTTCAAGATGGGAAAAATTACAGGAAACTCTATGTTTGGAATCAGACACCATGGTTTCCCTATATACACCTATCCATCCTCTGAATCAAATCATGGGTTTCCTCCATCTCTCGCCATTTCAGAGATGGACCTAAGGTGAGGGAATGGAAACTCGAGGAACCCGAGTAATATCATGTTAGCCATCATAATAAATCATATATGTCAATACCCAGAGCCTCCAAATATTGAGACAAAATAAGAATTTCAAATAATGATTACGGCCTCCAAGTCGAGGCATATGTCAATAATTGTCGATATGGGGTCATTTTCCGACACAGATGAACACAGGACATTCATCGAGTCATGGAACTGGGCAGCATCCCAGGCTGCCAGGGCTAGCTGCCACAGGATGAAACTCCCAATACCTTGGAGTTGGAGTGGCCTGGGGCCCCTGGGGGCCTGGGCTCCTCATGTGGAATCCGCCCCCCTAAAAGATCCGGGATTATGATGGGTTCCTCAAGAGGTCGCGGCTTTAATGATCCAAATGGATTATTCATCTCCCAATAAAGTGACCCACTGCCCACTGCCTACACAGAATTACTAAACTATCTATTGTGAGGTGCCAATATTCATTCATAATTACCCATGATTGACTCCAACCCCAAATTCGTTTTTGGTAAGACCGAGCCAAGTAAAAGGCACATAAACAGCACATGGGAATCGCAAATCCCCCTTTTGAAAAAAAGAAACAGCTTCAGCAGCACGGATTTGTCGAAAGGTTGAAATTTGCGATTTCTAGCTAAATCTGGAAGGAATCTGAACAATTTGGGTCACTCTAAAACTTCTAGCCAACAAATAATTTGTTTTGCATTTTTGGTGGCCATCGCCTCACTCCACCGCACACCTGACGAACCAAATTTCAAACCCCACAGAAGCTATGTGATGGTGCTGCTTGGTGAGCATAAATTGGGAATGTCCTCCGTTGAAATCGATATAATTATATATATAATATACAATACAATACAATAGAATACAATACAATACATAATACATAATACATAATACATAATACATTAAATATAATATATAATATATTAATATATAATATATAAAATATCAATAGATAATATATAATATATAATATATAATATATAGATATATAGATATATAGATATTTAGATATATAGATATATCGATATATAGATATATCGATATATTATAGACATATCGATATATAAATATATAGATATATAGACATATCGATATATAGATATATAGATATATAGATATATAGATATGTAGATATATAGATATATAGATATATAGATATATAGATATATAGATATGTAGATATGTAGATATGTAAATATGTAGATATGTAGATATGTAGATATGTAGATATGTAGATATGTAGATATGTAGATATGTAGATATGTAGATATATAGATATATAGATATATAGATATGTAGATATATAGATTTATAGTATATAATATAGATAGCATCAGTCACGAAGCATTCTGCGCCAAAAAATACTCTCTGGTAATTTATAAAACAATCTGCTATGGAAACCGTGGCGCGTTTGCAAATGATTTACTTATTAACAGATTGTGATTTCGATAGCAACCTGTAAATGACCACCACCCAGTCACATTGTATGGATGGCATCTGGGCCTCGCCGCCAGTTTGAGTTTTCTGGCGTTTTCTGCCCGTCTTGGGCCGCAAGGCTCCAAAGGGTGAACTTATGCACCCTTTGAGCCATTTCAATGACATCCAGTGACAGCATGTCCCAAATATGTTCTTTGCGGTCGGAAAATGCTCTGTGCTCTGTGACCCTGTACAGAGACATGTACGGAAACGCTGCAAAAAAACAAGGATCGCTAAGAGATCGAAATCAAATTCATGGTTGCAGTCCAATGTCAAAGAATCAGGACATGAAACGGTTTGAAACAATGGCCCAAATTTATTTATTCTCAAGAGTAATGCTCTATCGGGAGGTGCGTTGGTAGGGTGCTAGGTGTTTGGGGCAGGTACGGTGCAGAAGGTACGCTAGGTACAACTCGAGGACGTGCTAGGTACATGTCGGGGGTACGCTCAGAGGTACGTTGGGTGCATTTAAAAGGTACGCTGGGTACGCTTCAAGGGTACGCTGGGTACGCTTCAAGGTTTCCCTAGGTACGCTTCAAAAGTGGGAAGGATTAACTATTTGTCACCAACGGTCAATGGCATACAATGTTCATAGTCGGTTGCAGTTAAACAATGATTTTACATATATCACATAACCACGTTCATGCCATACATGTACGGATGGTGCGATACCTCGGGGCAAGTCATGACTTGCGCACGATTTACCATGGGGTCAATGGTACTGAATAGTGGGTATGGGCACAAATTTGGGGCACTGGACGTTGAGCATGAAGCACCTTCAACCGAACATTTCAACCAAACAGAGGCTGGATGTGGCACCGGAAACGTTGTTTTCAGGCAACGGCCACAAACAAACGGTCCCAGGAGGTTCCCGCAACTCTTCGGAGCATTACGTTGTGTTTTTGACATGTTGCCTTTTCAAATGAACTGTGAACATACAATTCCTCGGACCTGACATGTTTGGTAACCTGCGGCACGCAAACACATGTCAATTAGTCAAGAAAAACGTAACGGTAGCCTCTACAGCTCCGCGTTCCATAAAAACTATCTTGAAGCAACGGGGGCCATTGCTTGGCAAAGCACATTTCGTTCCATACACATGTTGGGACTATTGCTGTTTTGGTGCTAATTTCCAGGATGCTTTCCTACCAACCTACACAGTCACAGTGCTATGCGCTTTCGTGGGGAGCAATTCCGGAACATGCGTCTAACGTCTTAGGGCGGAGCGGTCCTCAGGGAAGAACTTAATAGATTGGTGGCGGTGCCCCTTCTGATGCATTGCCCGCTCTAGACATGCCGAGGCCCATTTTTTCAAAACAGGATGTACATATTAACCAAAAACATAAGAATTCACATTATATTGTTGTTTTCAAATCAAATGTTTCTTGCGATTAGCTAAAACTATATATATGTGCATTCCAGATTAGAGGAGGCCTTAGCGCCGCTGATTGGATTAATTGTGCAAAAAAAAATTGTATGAGCTCAACCAACTAATGGAAGAGTATCCTTGACTTTCCTTTTCTTGATGTCACCTGATATTAATGCAAATCTGGCTCAAGAATACGGAAGCCAAAAACAATTAAACACGTCAACACTTAAATGGATAACAGCAACATATAGACAAAGCATGCCAACACTAGCTGCAGGAGTCCTGCTACTAGATGGGCAGCATATCCGCGATAGCAAAAAACCATCGTCCCACTTATACGTATGTGTATATATATATATAGTTGTGTAATTACCAGCAAACACTGCAGGTCATGGACCCCACGGTTTCTTTACCATGCGTCTCCCTGGCAAAACCACAACCGACTTCAAATGACAAAACGCTTTCCCAACCTTTATCCTTTCACACGGCTCTGTATCTGCTCGCCTTATCTTGTTTTATTCCTGGCATGTTTACGTGTACATATAGAACGCAGTAGTATACAGAATCGGTGTATCTATCTACCAACGGCATCTCCATAGAGGCCCCATACCATACGCATGAACTTATCACCATATTGTACTCCCCTACCGTGCCCGAGTGTCGTTTATACCTCCTGACCATACCCATCGTGCCGTCTTACCGTACCCATGTACCATACCTATGTTCCCAATGTAGAATCACCCCATTGTTTGACAACAAAACAATTTCCAATGGTTCTTCATATTTACAGGTTTACTAACCTGGCATTCAAACTTTTTTCCCTGACATGTTAGAATTGGGGGGTGTGGCCTTTGAGACTTTACAGTACATGTCTGTTGCATGGCGGCGGCCAAAGCGAGCAAGCATCCATTTTCCCAGCTCTTCTCATTGGAATCTGTTGTGGGTCCAGCTGCTCACACACCTGGCACAAGGATTCAGGTGATCACAGAAATGGCAAACCACTACCATTGGCGCTTTCCTCTCATGTTTCCTACAGGAAAGTCGCTTCAACAGTATGACTTATGGCTGCAACTCTAGCCTTTTTAAGGTTTTTCCATGGTTTTTGTTGCTCTTATTCAGACTAACAGCATGCAATCCCATCCATGATTTCTACTCATGTTTTCCACCCTAGATGTGGGAACAGAACGCTCGGCCTCTCCGCTTCTGGTTCTTGGCGAATACGTTGAATCACACGACACCGCAGCCCCAAGGCAAGTGTCACGCAAAGCCGCAATGCTGAGCTAATATCTTTGGCTCAAAATCCAACAGCTTCTTAAGAGTCTCTACACTCAGCGCCGATACGTATGAGGGGTAGCCCGTTCGCCAATCATTTGTTCCAAACCTTTCGAGATTCTGACAAGCTCTACCTTCAACTGGAAATCAAAACATCTTTATATCGTATTCCTGAAAATCTTGCTGCGCTCGAATTGCGTTTCATCGGCAAAGTGAAAAAAGGCAGGCTAGGAGCAACCCTGCTGCTCCAACTGCACGGACAAAAACTGCACCTTCTTTTGGACAAGCGTGACAAGGAATTGATGGTAGTAAGCCCACCATCGTTACCTTTCCTGCACCGCTTATACTCTTGCGAGCACACTAGCTGGAGACAAACGCCCATTTGACTTGTCCGGCCATCATACTTGGTGTTGCTATAGGATCCCAGAAGTGGTCAAATTACCACAGAACAGTCCGAGCGGGGCTCTTGCACCAACCATGGATTGGGAAAAGGGCTCTGGGCCAACCATCGAGTAGATGCAAATGGGGCTAGAGCTTACAACCATCCAGTCGAAGTTTATTCGTTGCCACCAGCCGCCAGCTGAGTGGTTTCCAGTCAACCACTTGAACCATAGCTGCCACAGCTGTTTCTGTGGCAATACTTGGGCTTCACCCATGGAAAGCACGAGCGTCACAGGGTCAGGGTGAATCTGCATTCACAGCGGGAATCGAGAGCATGGTCCAACTGCAAAGTGCAGTCGGTTCTCGAAGGATGGACTGGGCAGAACAACACATCTCGAGAGAAGAGTTCCACTGACCCTAGGTTTTGCTCGAAACATGCGCATCCTTGGTAAGGAATCTTTCACAGCATCTAACAGGTTAGCAAGTTGCTCTAAACTGAAAAGAGGGACATTGCATTCGTTTTTTTCCTTTCTTAGCATTTGGGATTGCTGACGAGTTCTGCTGCAAAACACCCAGAAATTCTAGAAATCAGATATCAGCTCAATCTCATGGAATTAGCTAGAAAAAGCTGAAAACAAGGAGGCAGCACAGAGGGCAACCCTGCACCAAAAACACCTACAACATCTGGAGAGAAAGCAGAATGACGAGTTCACGACTGCATGGGCAAAGAATTTCGTCCCAACTTGATGACATCTGTAGAGTTGGTGAGTCTGGTGTGTTCGACATTTACCATGCACTGCAATTGCGGTCAATACCAGCAGGGGGCTGCGGACTTTAATCCATGAGTTTGCACCTTTGGATCTCACAACTGCATGATATTTGAGGCATTTTGAGGCAAACATTTGGACAAAGTCTTGTTCAAACGGCCCTCCGTCAAGAGCCAGTTGACCTTGGTCCATGACTCTGACACAAAACAAATTGCAGACTTTGCACCTGTGGCTGCCAGCTCTCAAAGGGAATGAAGAGTGCATGCATCTTTGGCACAGAATCTTTCGCCACAACAGATTTACGACACTTTCTACACTGAAAAGAGTTGCTATGTCAAGACATTGCCAAAGTAGCCTCACATCCAACGGGGCTTGGAGGCTGACTGGCTCTGACTGGGTACTTTTCTTTGCATGGCACGGCTACCCTGCCAATTCAGAAAGGCTTGAAGTGGCTGCATGCTTGGGTGAAGAGATGGCATCTTCCATGCACAATGAAGAGACCGGAGGAAATTTCCAATGTCCAATCCCTTCCGGTTGAAGTTTCAGGCTTCCCTTCCGTGCGCACCTTCGCTTCCGCCTCCTTTGCCGTAGCCGTGGTCCAAGGGACCCAGCAATTTGAAGGTACAAATCCCAAAGTCCCACAGACACAAACTCAAAGCCACCAGATAGATCACAAGCTACCAGGTTTGATGGCGGATGACAGGTTGCCATGCTTGAACTCCGGCATTGTTTCTCCGACCGGCGCTTGAGATGTGGTGCTCGGGTCAGATGAAATGTCAGCTCTGGACATATCAACAAGACCTGGCCATCTCTTGTCTTATGGCTTGTCACAAGCTGCCAGCGTGTGACGAAACAGTTGTGCATCTACTGCTCTAAAAGTGGAAAGTGATCGCATCACAAGTCGGCTTGAAATCGCTATTCATGTTTTGGTTTCACACAGGCCTGCCAATCAGAGCAAAACCACCGAGTCGAAAAACATGTTTTGTTACCTTGCCTCTGTTGAAGGAAGCCTCAAGCAACGCGTAAATTCCACGAAGTCACGAAGCCTTCCAGTTGCAAACACAGCATGACCACGTTTCAGGCGAAGGGGCGAGGATTTCCTTCACTTTTTGACAGCCTGTTTCATCACCAGCTGTGGCGAAATGATCTGGCCATGGCACATGACGATCCAAGGTCGCGTCAATCCATGCTCCCGTGAGCTGGATTGCAAAGTTGCAGATCTTCGGCCAAAAACGAAGCTCGACAACTGCAAATTCTATGCTGATTATGCTGTCTGATTAGAGTTTGTCAACCTCCCCTTTTTGAGCAATTAGCCAATTTTTCTCCCTTTGTCGGATCATTGCTCTCTCACGGAACTCAAAT